TATGTAACCACTGAGGATCTTCAATTCTTGATCCTCTTGCTTCCCCCTCCCCAATGTTGGGGTTACAGGCATCTTCACCACACCCAGTTTCTGCAGTTCTGGGGCACTAGCCTGGGGCTCTCTGTATGCGAGGTAAGCACTCTGTTTTGAGCTTTATTCCCAGGCAGATGGTAATTATTATTTTTCATAAAGAATTAGAACTTTCCAAAAACAAAATCAATCATTTAAGGTCCTCAGCATCCTTTCATGGTGATTTCCTTTATAATCTCACAATAACTCTGGATAGGGAGGCGGGTATTTTTATCTCTTTCTTTCAAGTTATAAAATTGAGGTACAGAGAGGTCACAATCTGAGAAAATGAGCATGGGAGCCAAGGTCTCCTCATTTCCAACCCTGGATGCCTTGCATTAAGATGGAATGATTCTCTGGGAGTTTTGAATGAGGATGTCATTGAATGTTTCAGGACAGAAGAGTTCTAATACGTTTGGCTGTTGAATCAAACTGTGCATCCAGACTGTGTTAAGTAATGTGGATTCAGGATATAGAAGAAATACACAGATCAACAGAGTATGAAAGGTTGACACAGAGAAGAAACAAGCCCAGGCTGGCTTCTAGGTTTATAATCAGAAATGTCAGAACAGCCACCTCATAACTGTGACTTTGAATAAAGGGCAAAAATACCCAAATAACTGTAAGAATTTTTGTGTAGAATGTTTGCCTTGTTGCTTGCCATATGCTGTGGGTTTGTATAAAAATTTCTCTTTCCAACATTCCAGGAAGGCATGCTTCTTGCTTTAATCTGCCAACTGCAAAATTAGTCTTTAGCACCCACCTTACACAGATCTTAAATGATGACTGGAGAAATGTGGCATAAACAGATGCACAATGGAAACACTGAAGACACACGAAATTAGATTCTATCATGCATATGTGTTACATAAATACTATAGATTATGATTTTAAAAAGAGGAGGAAAGAAGGAAATGGAGCATCTTGGCATGTCAAACACAAATTAAATGGTTTCTAAGTTTACTTTACTCTGAAATGTTGGGGGGAAATGGAAAAAGTCTGTTGTATTTCCACCTTCCTCTTCTCTAGAACAAACACCCAAGATTCCAAACTATTGCTGGAATTTAGAGGATGGTGATGGAAGGGAAAACTTTCATTAAATTATGCACCCAGGTAAGACATTGTCTTGCCGCCTCCTCTATTAACTCTGGGGAACCAGGAAGGGGGTGGGCATTGCTTCTTCAGGAAGCTCAGGCTTCTGGTTATCATGCTATGTCTAGTGCTTACTCAGAACAACATTAGCTGCCCCTGGGTCTTTCTCTAGCAAAATCTGTCTTTGTTTTTTTTTCCCCCAGTCTAATTTGTTGACAGAATGTGGACCCATGAGCATGCAAATTACATAAACTGGTGATAAGATTGGACAAATCCACATGCCTCCCCTTAGGGCTTAAATTTAAATTCTGCTTCTACCCAAATTACTAGAGAGCTTTCCATCAAGAGTTGTCTACGAGGTATGAGAAAATCTTCCCTTACGTGCAATCCTGATTCCAATTTCCTGTTTTCTCTTGTAGGTTAGTAAGGCCCTAGGTAACATCGAGAGGAAGAATTGCTATGTATATGCCTGTGTGTGTGTGTGTGTGTGTGTGACTTGTGTGTTTTGTGCGTGTTCATGTGTGCCTGTGTGTGCACTCCTAGGTGTTCACTGTGTGTATGCCTATAGATGTTCATATGTGCCTGTATGTGCATTCCTGTGTATGTTTGTGTGTGCCTGTGTGTATTCATATGTGCCTATATGTGTCTATGTGTGTGCCTGAATGTGTTCATGTGTGCCTGTGTGTGTACATGTAGGTGTTCACGTTTGCCTGTGTGTGCACTCCTGTGTGTGTTCTTGTGTTCCTGTGTATGTCCCTGTATTTGTGTCTGTAGGTGTTCATGTGTACCTGTGTGTGTGCTCATGCGTGCATATGTATATGTGTGTTCGTCTGTGTCTTTGTGTGTGTATGTATAGTTATGTGTGTGTTCATGTAGACTTGTGTTGTGTACATTTGTGTCTATTCAGTTGTGTGTGCTCATGTGTTTGAGTCTGAGTGTCTGTATGTATGTGTATTTATCTATGTGATCATATCCCTGTGTGTTTATGTATGCCTGTGTGTTTGTGTGTATATATATGAGTGTGCATGTGCATGTATGTTTATGTGTGTGTGTGTGTGTGTGTGTGTGTGTGTGTGTGTGTGTGTTGTATATGTGTGTGTGCTGAGAGGTGAAAGTTGTGTGGCCTTCCTGAGGCACCCTGGTCCACACAACTTTGACATTATAGTTCTTACACTGTCTGTCACAATTTGATTTTCTTTCTTTTTCCTTCCTTCCTCCTCCTCCTCATTTTCTTTTTTGAGGGAAGATGCCATGGAAATGGATCAAAGAACCAGGAAATAAGGAAAAGATAGGGAGTCCCAAATGGCACATATTAAAATATGAAATACTCTAAAAAGAATGCCATGAGATAAAAATGTAAAAATCTATTTGGCAACTATTTTTCAAGATATTAGATTATTTACATGACAGTTCAAGTAGCAACTTATATATCCAAAAAAAAATAAGAATTTAAATAATTTTACTGTGCATTTTGCCATGAATTAGTGTGTCTGAGTGTGGCTGTGTGCTTGTGATTTGGTGTATTAGCGTGCTGTATGGGTGTAAAAGTGAGTATGTACGGTGTATAATGAATATTATCTGTATGGAATGTGTGTTGTGCTTGCCTGTATGTGGAGTACATGTATGGTGCATATGTCTGCATGTGGAGCATGTGTAGTGCATTTATCTGCATGTGTAATATGAATAACTGAATACAGAATGTGTGTGACATGTGGATCTATATGTGTTATTGTGGTGTCTATATAAGTAAATGTGGTGTGCATATTTGCAAGTGGGATATGCATATCTATATGTGGGGTATGTGAGATATGTTTATCTATATGTGGTATATACAGGAATGTATATATGTATATGTGGTACATGCTTCTGTGTATATGCCTATGTATATGTACATGTGGTATATAGATCTGAATGTGGAGTTATTATTCATATGTAGTGTGCATATGTGTATCTGCATGTGGTGTGTGTGTAAAGTGTTTATCTGTATAAAGTATTTGTGGAAATGTATATATGTATGTTTAGCACATGTACCTATATGTAGATGTGTATATAAGAAATGCAGTACGTATATTTGCATATGAGTTATGTATATCTTCATGTCGAGTATGTGATGGGATCAGAAGGCTAACAAAAGTAACAAATTCCAGATAGGCCGTGTCCTAATCTGATCTTTTTCATTTCCCCTCCTTAAAAGGGTCTGTTCTAAATCTCACAGTGAATCAGCTCTGAGTCGGCCATCTTGCCTAGGGTCACCTGGATACAGAAGAGAAAAGGGATAGGAGAATTCAGCAAGATGAGACAGTTATTTCCTTCTAACTCAAAAAAGCATGTCCTGTCTGATGAAAATTCAGTGGCTCATCATGACTTATCATCATCCATCATTTAACTGTCCCCTGTGATATGCAATAGGAAGTTTCACATGTACAGAACAAAGGTCATTACCAAAAGTTTTGATAATGAATGTATATGAAGTCAGTACCTCTCTAAGTAACTGCTACCATGAACTCTACTGATTCTGTTTTAAGATAATGACAGTAGCATCTGAAAACTTAAACTTATTGTGCTTAGATTTCAAGTCATATTGAAGTGAGGTGTCAGGGTTTAGTGGGCAACAAGGTGCCCACTGTCATTCATGTCAGTAAAACTAAGTAAAAATTTAAAATGCTGAATGTGGCATTACCGTGAAATGATCACCAAAGAAACTTCTGGAATCAGGCATTTTTATTTTTTACATTTATTTATTATTTACTTTTGTGTATGCATATCTGTGGACAAATTTGTATCATGTTTCATGTGTGGAAGTGAAAGGGCAACTTGCAGGAATTGATCCTGTCCTTCTACTAAGTGGGTCCCAAAGGAAGATGGAGCTCAGGTCTTGGGCTCAGGGGAAAAGGCCTTCATTTCCTGAGCCACCTCAAAGCCTCACATGCTCAATTTTAACATGCATTTTAGCAAGAACTTGCTAGTTTGATTGTCTACTTTAGCATCTCAGGTTTACTTCCTAGTTGGATATATGTAAGTAGGGTCCCTGGTTTTTCATGACTCAGTTTTCTTATCTTCAGCAACTGGATATCAATTATATTTAATTTTTATAACTATTTCATTTAGTGAGTGTGTGCCTGTGCACATATGCATATGATGTGTATAGGGGTGGTGTATGTCACAGTATGGCAGTACAGATGTGGCGATCAGAGACTTTTCAATAATATCTGAATCATAAAGTTATTGTAAAAAGCAAAAGAGCCATTTAAGTATGTGTCCTGGTACATAGAATCAGATATTGATGGCAACTTCATGTAGGGGTGTATGATGTGAATATCTCATCCACTCTAATGCTACTTGACTGGTACCAAAACAGTGCCTCAGAATAAATTATTTGCTCCCAGAGAGGTCATTGGTAAATAATGAGCCCAGGCTTATATACCAGTTTGATGCTTTCTGTATTATTTCTCTCCCTTATATACAGTTTCCTCCCTGAAGTCTGTAACATGGTCAGCACATGTTGTCCTCATCACAAATGCACTTTGTTACTTCTTTTCTGACATGAGAAACAATAAACCCAAGTATGGGATTTGATTCAAGATCAAGCAAGCTTTAAAGTGTTGCATAACCTGAAAATAATCCAATATGAATCATGTCTTAGAATAAAATATGCAACCCATCAGATACACTATGGCAAATATAATGAGATTATCAAAACAATTCTTTTGTTTTCCTTAGTATGTTATATGTAGTTGTGCATGACAATCACAGAGCTGAGTCTTTGCAAAACAACCATATATTAATTGGACACTTTTCTCACTGTGAAGAGAAGAAATATTAAATGTGAAAGCACTTACCGCTGCTTGCCTATGAGTGTTGGACAGTATCCCGTGTATCTTCACTTTGTCTTTCTCCATTTGGTCTATGTTCACCCATAGGTCTCGGCTGGCGGAATCTGCTGGGCCATATATCCGAGATATGTAGTAATTGTGATCTGTGTCTTCCTGCATTGGTGGAGAATGATGAACATTAAGAACTGTAATGTTTCCGCTAATTTTATTTTTTAAGAGTTCTTCTATAATTAAAGGTTTCAGTGATCTTCAATCTAGCAAATAGTTGAAGTAGACTCTTAGAGAAGTGAATTGAAATGAAAAGGAAATATGTAAAAACAAGTCATCCTCTTTAGAAGAAACAGTTAAGCACAAAACACAATCTCATTTATATTCTGTGCACTACATATATTTCTTTTTGGTCATGGTAATAGTAAACACTTAACTGCTGACACGACAAATATGTCTGATTTAGAAATATTTACTGAAGATCTGAGCTTTGATTACTGTGAGTGACAACAAAATTAATTTATTCTTTAAAGAAACATTATATTGGGCCTGAATTTAGTTAATGGTCTTAGAAATTCAGATAATTGCCCAATTTGGGTTATTAAAGTCTACTTTTATTTGAATTCTCATTATGGGTCTCACTACAGTGCTTTGCAAAATGTGGTGATATATTATGTACCCTAATAAACTTATCTGGGGATCAGAGGACAAAGCCAGCCACTAGATTAGACATAGAGGCTAGGCAGTGGTAGCACACACCCTTAATCCTGTCACTCGGAGACAGAGATCCGTCTGTGAGTTCAAGGCCACACTGGAAACAGAGCCAGGCAGTGGTGGCACACACCTTTAATCCCATTACTGAGAAGCACTCAGGCCTTTAATCCCAGGAAGTGATGGCAGGGCAGAGAAAAGTATATAGGCGTGAGGAGACAGGAAGTCTCTCTCTTTAGACTGAGGATTTCATAGAGATAAGAACTTACGGCTGTGGCTTGTTCTGTTTCTCTATTCTTTCAGCTTTCACCCCAATATCTGGCTCAGGTTTTTTTTGTTTTTTGTTTTTTTTTTTTTAATAGCAATTCGCATTACAGCAGAGAGATTGTATCCCTCATGTTTCCAGATCAACAGGGAAAGTGAAGGTTTTCAAATCATACGACATTTGCATAATACAGATCATGTACATGTATTAACTACAAAATGCAACAATGCCTATGAGGGTTTGGGGATGACTTCTCCACAGATAAGCATTTGCCAGGTAGACATGACAATCTCTTTTGGGGTCTCAATTGCCCAGTAAAAAATTAGACATGTCCCATGCATCATTTTAAGAGGTATTTAATTTTGTGTTTAATTATATGCATTTGTATGCACTTTTTATATGTATTTTGTCTGACATTCAGGTAAATTTGAGGAAAAGGCATATAGAGAAGATTGCCTATGATTTGGGCAATAAAGTTTTGGAAGTGAATTCTGTCTAATATATTTATTATCAACATGTTACTGGAATAAAACTGAAGTATCCAGCCATTCAGTCAAAACCAGAATCTCATGTATGTCTTCTCAGATCACCAGGTTAATGTGCACAGAAAATGATTATAGAAAGCAAAAGAATTAACAAGTCTAACCAGTATTCAAAGAGATTTTGCATCATTCCTAAAAGAAATAAACATGGAAATGAATAAGTAAAGTTCTAGTTAAATTTTGGGTGCGAGAAACTTCTGCAGAGAAAGAAGAGGAGACTCAAAGGACATGGGAAGGAGATGCCCTGAAGCTGGGAGGATGGGAGTTTCCAGGTCTTCCTCCACAACAACAACAAAACGCATGAGAACCAAAAGCATTGTGTCCTGTCTCCCAGTATTCATTCCCTCTCTCTCTCTGTTGCTCCCCCACGGGGACTTCTTCGCTAGAGGGAGAATGAGCCATGCTAGTCCACAAAATTCATCTGGCATATGTGAACATCAGTGCAAGATGGACCATTGGCAAGGCATTTAGGAGTTCAGAGGTTGTAAGTTTCCTTATTCTGCTTGCTGGGATGTCTATGTGTGAGATTTGATACAGCTGTCATTTTGGCATCCTGGGGAGAAGGTTCAAAATAAAAGTAACACTTCCCTCAGTCATTGGATGAGATTTCTAGCAGGACAGTTAGGGTGTTTGGCTATCCTATCACCAGAGTAGATCAGTTCGGGTTTTGACCATTGTCAGTAGTCTATTGTGGAGGTATCTTTGTGGATTTCTGGGGACCTCTCTAGCACTTTACTTCTTCCTGTTCCCATGGGGTCTTCATTTATCATGGTCTCTTATTTCTTGTTCTCCCTCTCTGTTCTTAATCCAGCTGGGATCTCCCATTCCCCTAAGCTCTCTTTCCCTCAACCCTTACCCTTCATTACCCCCACTCAAGTCCAGGTTGCTCATGTAGATGCAGAGATCCATGGCCAGGCCCCAGGTGGAGCTCCAGGAGTCCAATTGGCAAGAAAGAGGAGGGATTGTATGAGCAAGAATTATTGAGACCAAGATTGGAAAAAGCACAGGGACAAATAGTCAAACTAATGGAAACACATGAACTATGAACCAATAGCCGAGTAGCCCACAACTGGATCAGGCCCTCTGGATAAATGAGACAGTTGATAAGCTTGAACTGTTTGGGAGGCACCCAGGCAGTGGGACCAGGACCTGTCCTTAGAGCATGGGCTGGCTGTTTGGAACCTGGAGCTTATGCAGGGACACTTAGCTCAGCCTGGGAGGAGGGGACTGGACTTGCCTGGACTGAATCTACCAGGCTGAGCTGAATCCCCAGGGGAGTCTTAGCCTTGGAAGAGATGGGAATGGGGAGTGGCCTGGGGGGAAGATGGGGGTGGGTAGGTGGGAGGGGGGAGGACAGGGGAATCCGTGGCTGATATGTAAAATTAAATTAAATTATAAAATAAAAAGGAAAAAAAACAATAAAAGTAACACACAGAAATAAGGACAAAATGGCAAACACACACCAAAGGAAAAGTCATTTCTCTGGTTATGTTCATTATCTGCATGCACTTTTTCAACTTCATCATACATCACCTTAATGGAAGAATCCTGATTTAAAAAAAAAAATGACTCCTATTTATAATCAAACTTAAGCAAGACTGAATAAGTTGGTCTTAGAAACCTCTTAGGTCTTGGTAACAAATACATACCCAATTCTTGCATTCTATGGAGTCACAGAGCAAAAATGGAGCCTTGTATAACTTGCCAAAAAGCATCGGGTCTGAACAGCAAATAATGATAGCTTCTTTAGTTTTAATGAGTATTAGAAAAGATGACTTTGGAGAAAATGCTCAGTGAGTGTTAATTTGTTACAAGTTTCTTATAAACTGTAATGAACTCAGTAACACTAAGGTCCACAATACAATCTTTAGGCATACTGTGTAACTGATTCTATGATGTGGTGAAATTCACGAAGAATTATTAATGCATAAAGTTTCATCAATTAAGAGTCGAGTTCAGTATAAAGACAGAAGACAACAATTAAAAGAACTGATGTTTATCTTTAATCTTTGAAATTATTTAAACAAATAATTTTTAGTTATAATGATGAATAACAATGTAAAAAGACAATGAAATGTCTGAAGAATTATGCACAACGTTGGCTGTAATACATATCACTGATGTGACTACATGAAACCATGCCTTTAATTTTCAGCTAAGTTGGAGTTTCTCAAAACAATACCAGGTCTTGAAAACACTGAAGTTAAGCTAAAGACTTGGTACTGACTTTTATATCTCAAGCTTGCCAAGTTGTCATGGCAACTTTTATTCAAAGATAAAAGCAATTTATTGTTTACCTAGGAAAGTAGACACACTCATTGTTAAATCCCTGAGAGGTGTTTGCCTCAGTCACTCAGGAAAGCCATAAAATAGATGTCCCCAAAATGTGAAATTTTAGCACCAGTAAATTATTCAAACTATTTTTTGTCATTTTTTTTTAGGAATAATGATACTTAAAGAGTTATTGAAAGTCACTCTGGGCACAAAAACTTTTATTTTCTCTTCTAAAGCAAAACTATTTCTAATATCAGAGACAATAAAGTGAAGCACTATTGTGATACGCCTACTTGCCAATTCATTTAGGAAACCAACTGTTACTGAAAGTAGACGCTCAGTGGGTGACTCTAAATGCTATAAACTCAGGTTGTCAAAAACTGCCTGCAAATCTGCAGCTGTAGGGCAACACAGGGCATCGTCCAAAACATTCAGAGGATGAGTCACCATAGCTACAGGCATCCTGCAAGAATCAGTCTACCCCACCCAGCTAAAGTGCTCTCTTTCATTACACACAGTATTTGTAGATGATGCCCATTTCTAGATGCAACAATGACATTTCATTGAAAACTACAAGAAATTGAGAACTTATTGTATAGCCATCCATATGCTAATAATTTGATATCTATCTAGACATTACATTTAATATAATCAAGGTTTTCAAGCAATGTCATTTAACATTAAACTTAAGGCTATCACATAAACATTAGTCTACAATCAATAGGATTTTATGGTCTTCACACATGTGGAGGTGTATTTTATTCTGATAAGAATGCTTTCACATGGGTGTTGTTATTAAATTAAACATAAAGATATTTTAAATACCACGTGTGTACATCATACTTTCCGGACATAAATAGAAAAACAAACAAACAAAAAACCAAAACCAACAATCTAGTTCTCTGTGATATAACCCAAGGTGCTACTATAAGTAAGCAAGGGGTATGATAAAATAACAAAACTGAAAAAAGAGCATAGTAAGCATACTAAAAGAAAAATCTTGAGACATGTAAATGCATTCATACTGTGCCCACACAGCCTTGGGGAACAAACAGCATAAAAGAGAAAAGCTCAGCAAGAAAGCATATCTAGGACAGATGCTATGGGATAAATGTTGTTGACCCTACCTCAAAATCCATATGTTAAAGACTCAACTCCCAGTATGCTTTTAATTTTCCAGAGGGTCTTGATAGGGTAGTTAAGGTTAAAGAATGCCAAAATAGTGGAACATTGGCCATACAAGGTTTATATACATAAAAGGAGGCATGAATATTTTCCCTCCCTCTGCTGGCTGCTTCCTTCCACACCTCTTCTCATGCTTCACTCTCCTCTTCTCTTTCCCTTTCCCTCATCTTCACTCATTCCTTAGGAAA